GTCAGCGGAACCCCAGGCTAGCGGGTGTGCTCCAGGGAAGGGGTCGGCCGGATGGGAGGCACCCCAAGGGAGGCACTCGGAGCCTGGAAGGTGGTCGGAGCAGGGAGGTGGGCGGCTCAATGCGGGAGCGCCCCCTACTGGCCCGCCACCCCTTCCACACCCCCAGATGAGCTGCTTGCGGTTCCATCCTGTGCCCTGCCCCAGCTGAGCAGCCCCTACCCCAGCCCCAACCCGACTCCCTCCCTTACCACAGGGGCCTCGATCTGCTCTCCTCGCACCTCTTCCCTTTCCTGTGGCCTTCCCGTCCTGACCTCCAAGAGACTTACCAGCCAGATGCTACTCTCCAAGCTGCTGGGCTGCATATCAGCAATCGGATTGGTATCAACCAATATGGCTTGTTAATGATCGGCCATCAGTATCCGCTCAAAAAAATCTTTATCGGTGCACCCCTACACAATATGTGTTCTGCCAGTTCAGGATTAATATCTTTGTGATTTGGGGTTTTTTCCAGCCTGTATTTGATTATTCCCCCCTGCCCGCCCCCCCGCCTCCCAAGAGAGGGATTTTACCACTTCTTTTCTTCGGTTGTCAAATTAGTTGTGTTATAAACCGTTTTTTACATCAGCCAGATATTCTTCTTATGTTGTTCTGTCATTTCTAGTCAGTTCTTTCAGAGCCATTTGTTTAGTTTCTTAGTAATAGTGACCTTCGTGTGTTTTTCAGGCTGTTCTGGCTGGTGAGCCTGTTTAATGATTTACTTACTATGTTTCAGATGCCTTTTATAGAGGTGATAAACTAATTAGCCTGAAACAGATTGCAGATGATGCCCTGCAGAAATGTAAAGAGAAGTAAGTTGACCTTTCTGGAATGAAAGGATTCTTCCTGAAATCTATTTGTTTATATAATCCTAAATTGTAAGAGTCTGCTAAACATTGCAGAATCTTGGAAAATGTCAGATCTTAGTTTTCACTCGGTTTTTGACTACAGAGCAATTTTTTTCTGTTGCAAAAAACTCAGAAAGACTACAACTTTGAATTCATATTTGAAAACTGTGTATTTATCTTGTGAATCCTGTTTGCACACGTAACAGTGCTAACATTGTGTGGTACTCCTTGGCACCCTTGAAAGGATCTTGAGGCATCTCAAGGTGCCATGCACCCTGGTTAAGAGACAGTGTTCTGGAGTATGGAATCTTGGCTAGATAAGTCCTTGGCCTGTACCAAAGAATAACACCCATTTGGGAAAGGTTTAGTCTAAATTGTCAAAAAAAATCAGTGACTAGCAATTGGAGAACACTAGCAAGTACCAGATATGTACTGTGAAGATATACAAAGGTGCCTCTTTACTATGAGCTGCTGCATCTTGTTCCAAATGCATAGTGTATGTGTTTTTCAAACTTCTCTCAGCTGACAGGAAATAGCCTACAAAGATCTGGCAAAATCTGGAACATGAAAGGTTTTAGCAATAGAGGGAAAAGGAAATGTGGGTGAAAATAGGAGGAGAATAATGAAGGCAGTTGTAAACCGGTGAAATAATGCAGGGTGCTGAGGATTTTCACTAGTCTTATTGTTGAGTTATGTTTGTATTTCAGTGGGGTGTAGAGATTGGAAGCTGAGAAATGTGGTTGAGGGGGAGAATCTGGTTGCATCTCTGCTCTACCATCTCTACCAGTTGGTTCCTTGGGACAGTGCTTTTGGAATGAGCAGGCCAGTGTAGCATATGGTACCTAGTGATGGAACAATTGCTTTCAGCAACAGTTAATTGTAGTTGGCCCATATACACCTCATTAGCCCAGGAGGGAGGTTTATGGACTGTAACTCAGCAAATGCACACTGAGGGCTGAATTCTGTTCTACCTAATAGGCATGTTAGTGGACTTATGTGCCTAAGTGTAATTTTGTTACATCCCACTCAAATCCCTGAAAATAGGTAAAGCCAAAGGTGGGTGGGTCTTCTTCTTCCTCACTGGTTTCTTTGACTTAGTTACCCAGTAGGTGGAATAAAATGCAGCCTCAAATGCCTCTGCTTCTCTACAGAGGCCTGCATAACATCTGTGTAGTTTAACCACGCCTTTCCTTTCATAGGGGCTTCCTTGTGCGAAACTGTATTGTGGTCAACCATTTGGGAAGGGAAGAACTAGTGTCAGATGGGACAACCAGCCAGTCGCCACCTGTTAAGCGGCTGTGCCAGGATGTACAGGTAAGTTCCCATGAGATACCATGTGGGGGAAGGGGTGTTGTTCCCTCCCCTCTTAATTGTTTGTGTACTGCAGGGGTTGGCAAACCCTGGCACGTGTGCCAAGTGTGACATGCAAGGCCATTTTGCTTGGCATGCAAGGCCAGTGCCAGCTCCGTGTAGCTGCTGCCAGCAACAGAGCCTGGACTGCTCCCAGCAGGGCTTGCAGCGTTCCAGCTGCCTGCTGGGAGCAGCCTGGGATCCCAGCTGGCAAGCAACTCCCCAGAGCCGGGGTCAGCTGCAGCTTGGAGGTTCCAAACAGCTGTGCCGGGCTCCGGCACCAGCTCTGCACCGGCAAGTGCAGATGCGCCTCGGAGCGGGCGGTGGGGGGCCTGAGGCAGTACAGTCCCGGTCTCTCCCTGGCTCCCGGCACGGAGGTGACGAGCCCAGCGCAGCTGTTTGTAGCCAGTCCGCACTCTGGGCAGCTGCACCAAGCAGTGGGAAGAGTGCAAACAGCTCCACCAGGTTGCACAGCTCCAGCATCAGCTGTATGCTGGCGGCAGCTGCACGGGCACCTCGGGGCAGACAGTGGGGCAAATGACAAGCCCTCTCAGAAAGTGTCCATAACCTGGTGAAAGCTGTGAATCCCAGCCTTGTTTTCCTCCCCTCAGCCAAAATGCCACAATGTCCAGTTTCAGGGATTTAACTATATCACTATGCCCTGTAAGCAGCAGCTCAAACGGGTACGTGGGAGCTTTCATAATGGTGACCTTGGGGTAACGTAGCCGCACACTATTATAGTAGCCAGTTAGAAACGTCAAACAGATGTAATTGCTGTACAGTTAACCCTTGATTTTTCAGGCAAGGTAGAGCTTCTTGCTTTATATCTGAAGCAGCCAGTCTGTAGAAAAGGGCTCCCTCACCCGATTGTGAAACCAGCTTCTTTTAAGGTCCATTTTTGATTACCCTGGTGTGAGCTTCTTTTCCCCTGGAAGATAAAGATAGATGTGACAGAATTTTGACAGCATTTGGTTGGGGGGGAAATGAGGTAACACTTTTAGGTGATTAGGAGCTACAAATTCTAGTGCAAGTTCTTGTGGAAGAAGCATTGTACAGAGTGATAGAATCATAGAAATGCTTACCTAATCATAGAAATAGCGATGCTTAGGTATGATTTTATCAGCACAGGCTGACTCTTCAGCCGTCTGGCACCTCAGTCAATTTATGACATCTCTGGAGTGCAGTCTCATCCAATTCCTTTTTGGGGGTTGAGAGAGAACTTTTAGTGGGTCTTGCAGCTACAGAGCAGTTGCTGGAGATGAGCTAAGGGACTTCAAGTCAGATGCATGAACACAATGCTTTTAAGGTGGAGCAGAAATTAGTGAAGGGAACTGAAAGAAAGGAGAGACACTCTAGTATGGGTCCCCTGCTTTGCTTGTGAAGGTGTGGGAGGGGAGGGTGCACACAGTCATACTGTGTGCATTTGGGGTAAATTTGCAGGTACCTTACTCCAGAGCTGTCCAACTTCTAAGTGACTGGGGGATGCTTGTCATATGGGCCACACCAGCAAGGGCCTCATGCCCCCAGGCTACAAGCTGCATGGATATACCCTCCCTGCCTCGCTGTGTACCAGGAATTTCCAACCTATACATGCTGTGCTGTGCTTCCTTGCCCTGCTCCCTGGGTGGGTACAAAAAATAGAAGCTGGAGGAGGGAGGGGAAGCCTGGAGACTCCAGCTGCTGTTGTTACCCCTAGTAAACTGCCAGTTGGACAGTGCTGCCCTACTTCATTACCACTCACTGGAATAAGACTGCAACCTTCTTGTCAGTGTGAAATCCCTCAATTTGACATGCAGGGTTGTAAATACACTTTACTTTGTCTGTAAGCTGCTCCTGCTGCCCCACTTGCAGTTCAGTGGCTTTGTTGTCAGTCCCTTCTATGGAACTGAGGAGAGCTGTGTGGACGCTAGAGCATGACATGTACAGAGAAGGGACAGGGTTTATGTGAACCAATCAGTGTGGCTGAACATTTTAAGGAAACTGGTTGGCTATTGAGGCTTGCACTGTGTACTTGTCAGAGTGAGGAGTGTGCTTTCTTTTATACTTTATTGGGAAACCTCAGGGGATTGAGCTGTGGGTAGTATTTTTGGGAATGTTTTTCAAAATTAATGTTCATGTGCACACCCTAAATAAAGACTGCAGTCCCTGGGATAGTTGTATGCTTGGCTAGGCAGGCACCATTTTCTGCAGGTCAGATGTACTGGCTGCTTGTGATGAGTACACCATTTCTGTAGTGGCACTTCTGTCAAGGTGAGAAGGGTATAACCCAGACCCCTGCCTTCTCTGTGCTGGTCATAAAAGTAGGGTTCATTGTCAGCCTGTGGAACATTTTTTAACAAATATATTAATGGCAGCCTTGCAACATGGCATGTTCTTGCTCCATTTAATGTAGCTAACAGTTTCTCAGGTGATCAGTGGATGCCTGTATACTGAGTAAATAATGTTGGGCCCTGCTTTGTTTTTGAGCTGAGTTTTTGTTTACAAAGCCTTGGGAGGAGGAAAGGTGAAAAAGAAGAAGAAAAAAAAAAAAGTCTTATTTTCTTTAGGGGTGCACTGATAGAGATTTTTGGGGCTGATACCAATAACCGATATTTGAGGAGGCATATCAGCCAATACTAGTCCCATTTCCAATACAGCTGCCTCCAGCTGCTACATCCGGTATGGGGGAAGGGCCATGGGGGGGGGGGGGTGCCGAGGGGGGGGGGGGGGGTGCGGCAGATCAAGGCCCCTGCTGTGAGGGAGGGGACAGGGAAAAGGAGGCTCCTTCAGCTGCTTGCACCCTGGGAAGGCATGGACGGAGGGATGTGTGCCCCCAGATCTGCGCAGGGTGGGGCAGGCTGCAGCCAGAGCTGTGTGGGCTCTTCTTGGCAGAGGCTGGGCTTGGAGCAGGGCAGCAGTGGCGCTGGGAAGATGCTGCATCCACCCCAGATTGCTGCCACTCCGCTTCTAGCACCGCCGCTGCCAGCCTCCTGGTGTAGCCGTGGCTCAATGTGCCAGGAAGAGGTGGGGCTGCGCTGAGCAGCTGACGGCAGTGGCACTGAAAGCAGAGCAGTGGCAAAATGTGGGGTGTATGCAGCACCCTCCCAGCACTGCTGGCACCTTCTTCGAGCCCAGCTCCTGCCAAGAAGTGCCTCATGGACCTCCGGTTGCAACCCACCCCACCCCACGCAGATCCGGGGGGCATGCTGCCCTCCCAGGGTGCAAGCAGTAGCAGAAGCCACCTCCCCCCGAGCTGCAGCCTCACCCTGCCTGAGCAGCATCTGCCCCTGCCCACTCCCTCACCATGGGGAACATTGATCTGCCCCTCCCCACGCCCCCCCCCCCCCCACACCAGACTTACCAGCTGAAGGCAGCTTTCCATGCTACTGGCTGTGCTTCTTGCTGCCCGAGTGCTGCACTGTGGCTGCGTGCAGCATGGGCATTTATTGGCCAAATTAATCGGCCCAATATCCAATACAGCCAGTTTTCTTTATATCAGTACTAATCTGATATCAGAGCGATGTATCGGTGCGCCTCCAATTTTCTTACTAGGCGACTCCTCCTGCATTGACAGGACCATGTTAATTTGCAGGATAATTGGTCTGTGCTTTTAATTCCCTTGAGCCCCGTGCACACTCAGAGTGGTAACACAGACGTGAAAAAGACAGATCTTTGGGAAATAAAGTGGAGACTGTTCAGAGAGCATCTCCTGGCTTGGGCCCAGGCATCCTTTGGCTTGGAAACAGCTGTATGCTCTCTGGTGGGCCTTCCTCAGCAGCCCTAAACCTCGCTGTCTTAATGTAAGTGGGCAAGGGCCTGATGTGCATCCTGTGCTTGTCTACTCACCCTGTTTGTGGATTTTTAAACAGGAAACAAAGACTGAGATTTCAAAGAGAATCCATCCTAAGGTATTTATAGCTAGCAGCAGCTCTCTCTTTTTGGTTCTCATCTTTGCTTCTCCCTCCAGTGCTCCACTCTTAACTGCTTTTGTCTTTACACAGCCACACAAGCCTTTCTGATCTGGTTACCAGCAATTGCATGTTAGCAGTAGACATCACACTTGCCTTTGGCCTTAGTCACTAAATGTCTGCACACCACTCCCCTGAGCATGGGAAAGAGAGGGGAGAGAAGCGTGTTGACACTTACAGAAATCTTTTGTAGTTGCCTAAATGAATAGTTGCATATAAAAAGAAACAACTAATAGAGAGCCTTATGTGGGCCATGATCTGCCCAATGCCAATAGCTTTACCCCTTTTCCCCCCCCCCTTGTGTAACTAACTGGTACAAAAATGTTGGTTTTCTGATGGGAAGGAATGACCCCAACTCCATGCGGCACCCAACAACTAGGGAGATGACGATCCAATTGCTCATGGGTCCTGTTACTCATTAGCCAGAGCAAGCAGGGAGCAAACACCAGCACACATTGCTTGCAACATCTTTATTCAAAATGGAGACAGCTTTGGGCAAGGGTTCAAAAAAAACCACAAACAAACACACAAACAACACACCACACACAAACTAACAAACCAGGGACCTGCAGTGAACAATAGTTTTTTCCCCTCACATACATACACTTTGGTTTATACTCATTAACATTCACTCCACCTCTCCTCCTCTCTCAAGCTCTGCCTCCGTTTACTGTTTGCTTCATTAGCATGGAATTGCGTATGCATTTCATGCATTTACATTCCTTTTTGCTATGAGCACATCTCTAAGACTTTGACTACTTTTCTTCAGTCAATGGGCAGACTTTTACTAAAACCTGGAAGCTTCTTCACCAATCACCATTTACCTTTTTGCGTATGTTCATCTCAGATTCTTTTACCAATTACATGTTGTTTTTTCACATTCCAACCTGTTTTTCTGTCCCAAGTTGTACCATCTTCCACATTCCTAAAGCTTCACTTCATTCACAACACACAGACTTACACTGACTCACTTGCTGCCTTTTCTCAGAGAAGTGGTTGACACAGTTAAGATGGTTACTTGGCAGAAGCAAATGGATGGCTTAGCTATCCTTCTGCCTTGTGGGTAGCAGCTTTTGCTGGGCCACAGGTAAAGCCTTTATTTCAGCTGCAAATCCAGTGCTCCTCAAGATCCAAATATTGTCACCCTAACAGGTTTCATACTAACAGATTCCCAGCTTGAGCCCATGCATAAGCCAAAGCAACTGAGTACTTCTGAGCTAGCCCAGTTGTTCCCACCTTGCCTGTAGGGTCAAATCTGATTCCATGAAGACATCTTAACACACACTAATGCAAGTCCCCTATGAGGCTTCCTCCAACCTATAATAGCCTCACCCAAACCACCAGTGTAACAAATAGCAAACACAAACACAAGCCTCTTGGCTACAAAGTAAACAGAAGCCACCCGGCCATAACAACATTCAATCCTACCAGGGATCCTTTCTCTCTCTACAGTATCAGATGCAGCTCCTTCATCAGGCCTCTCCTTTGTAAAATGGCTGAGCACTTCCCTCCTTGGCTACTGGTAGGGAACTGCCACCTGGCCTCCTGCCTGTGGTTTATATAGGAGCCAGGCCCTGCCCCTTCTTGTCAGATGGCTAGGCAGGTGCGGACCATTAGCTCCCTCTAGTTGTCTCAGCAACCGGCACCTGAGGAGTCTTCCCAGCTCTCTCAGTAGCAGGCACCTTAGTGCCCTGCTGCAGTATAGCAGGAGTAAGGGAGACCTAGAAATGAACAAAGAAAACAGAATACCTCTCAAAAAAGTTTTGAAATGACTTATTTTAGTGAGGGGACATGAAAGAGACAGAATGTGGCAGGAAGAAGGGAGATTAGGCAAGCACGATCCCTATAAAAGGGCCAATCAGTGTAATCTAATACTGAAAATGTCTCAGTATGTGCTCAACTTGTATATATATGATGGTGTGTCTCAGCTGGGTGTTTGTTGGTCCAGTACACACCTTAGTTTGCAGAATGTCTATAAATCAGGCCAAAGAGCTCATTAGAATTCCATGTGAGTGCTAAAAATATTCTTCACGGAGAGTACAGCTTTGCAAAGTACAGGAACAATTGGCATTCACTGTACAATGGATCCACTGTAGAGGGACTGATAGCTGAGACTGACTCTGTGACGATATACTAAAGAACCTAAGCTTGGGCTGGCAGAATGCTAGCTTGTTGGAGGAAATGCAGAATCTCTGTACATGTCCTTCAGCTACTGTAAAATTACTGATGGGCATTTCCTAGCAGCCTAGACCAATGAATTCCGGTGATGCTTTATAGTGGTGCTACAAGAGCTTGCATTGATAATCTGGTACAATGTGTGTGTACACATTGTACACACACACTGTACACACATTTGTACAGTGTGGTGCCAGGAGTTGATGAGATCTTTACAAGGAAACTGATAAGGACCTGAGTTTTGAATCTAATGGTCGGTGATTTAGGTATGCCTGCTATAACTAGTTCCTGTCTGCATTTACTTAGCTATAGCTCCTATGTGTTGCTGGGCGTGATAGAAAAAGAGAGGAATCTACATTTCTGTATGTTGCTCTCATTTCACTTGGATGCCATCTACCCACCTATGTAAAAGATTCTTGCCACACTTGTCTAACTTCAGACTTGTTTGCTAGGTAAATTTAGCGTGGCTGAAATTTCATTTTTATGACACTTTGACCTATAAGCTTGGCTGCAAATGTTAATGGTCTGCTCCTTAAACCTCTGTAATCCTGAGGTGATTCATTGTAAAGCTTTGATAGCCCAACTTAAATGTAGAGTTTCTAATACGCCATAATTTATTCTCATCAAGACTGTTTTTGTTAAAGTCTGAGTAAAACTCAGCACATCCTATGCGGGGGGAAAAGCTTGCCAGCTTGATTCTGGCAAGTAAATTAATTCTGGTTCATCTCAATTCAGACTGTAGTCATGAAGGAACCCCGGCTAACTCTTGAGGACTTCAGTGCACACACTGTTCTAGGAAAGAACTGCTCTATTTTGGGAGCGTGTTTCACTTTACAGTGTAAATGGGTTTTGTAGGTACATCACCCCAGTGACATCTGACTTAAGGCTTGACTCAACTCCCTCATCCTCATTGATGAGGACTTGCAGGGTACAGGTTAACCATCTTGGCCTACAGAACTGGAATCTAAAACTGGCCAAAGAGGAATACTGCCAGGTTAAAAAATAGCTTACTCTTTCTGAACAAATCTCCAACTCTCCTGCCATTGCGAATGGGTGATCGAGCCTAATTCCATCTCCCTCTGGGCTCGTCTGCCATGACTTAGATAAAAAGGAAAAGAAGAGGGTTTCAGTGGTCTTTCTGCACTAGGAATCACTAACGCCACCCAGGTGGTAACTTGTCACAGTGTTACTTTATTTCCCAGCAGGGTGTTGCAGCTTTACAGTAGCCTCGCTAATTGCATCATTAGCGAGGGACGTCTGAGCTCCCGATAAGGGAACTCAGCGCCGGATGCCTTACAGATACTTTGTTGCTATCACAGTCTCTATCACTAATTGCCTTGTTAACGAGGCACATTCTCTGCGTCTTTTGCATGTGCCTCATGCCGGGATTGACCCTGGCTGCTCCCTCACTGTCTGCACCACTGCTTTCAGTGTCATTGCTGTCCCGATGGGCCGGGGGCTTATGCTATTTCCTCCTGCCAGCACATCATCCTGGGGAGACTCCTTTCTCTCTGGACTCCCCGCAGGGTCGCTTCATGGAGTCCCAGTTCTTCCCCACACTCACCGGAGTCACTGAAGTTCCCAGGTAAGTAGCCTGCCTTGTGATTGACTGGTTATGCCATCTGGAGTCCCAGGGTCCTGGCATCCTCTTAGATCACAGGGCGGGCTCCTCATTTGTCCTCCTCTTCTTCTGGGGTCTCAGTAGCCCTTCATCTGTCCTCCTGTGCCCAAAGGCAAAGTGCATTTGTCCCGCCCTTGGATTTATACTGGCTGCGGCGGGCTAATCACCTTGCCCTTCCCTGGGTGTATGATTCCCTTTACCTGGCGGAGTGCATAGTCAGGTCAATCCTGCCCAAAACCATTTCAGTAACAGGGCTCATTTCAGTAATCAGGGCTGCATGAGTCCCTGTTACACACCTCCCCCCGTAGTTCAACAGTCACCCCGGGGGAGATAACAGGAAAAAGGAAAGAAAAAAACCCAACAATGATAAAAATAAGAAAAGAGAAAGAAAGGAACAAAAGGACTTTTAAAGCTGGCATCTTCACCCTGCGTCAGCCTGGTGATCTGTGGTGTTGTCTCACCTTTCTTCTGTATGTGAAAGGAAGTCGATGTTCCCATTCTTCTTCCCCATTCAGTGCCTTACTGGGTTAAAAGGGTTTTAAAGCCAGGGCCCACCACATCAACCTGCTTAGCTGTTCGCAGCCAGCACAAAGGGGCACGATCTGTGATCAGGACAAATTCCCGCCCTATAACTTAATAACAAAAGAGCTCTACCCCCCACTGGATGGCTAAACACTCCCACTCAATCACTGAGTAACAGGTCTCTGCCGGGGTTAGTTGCTTGCGACTGAGCTGGGTCTCTGGCCTCTTTTCCCTGTTCCTCACATATAATGTCCATTAACCCTCGTGGGCTGTGACCATAAATCAACTCAAACGGTGCATATCCCATGGAGACCTGAGGTGCCTTCCTGATGGAGAAAAGTAGCGGAGGTATCGTGGCATCCCATCCCTGTGGATCCCCTTGTATGCAGGCCAGAATCATCCCCTTCAAGGTGCGGTTAAAGTGGTCTACTAAGCCATCCGTCTGCGGATGGTAAATGAAAGTTCGGAGCTGCTTAATCTTTAGGGTTTGGCAAATCCCCTTCAGGATCCTGAACATAAAGTTCTTCCCTGGTTGGTAAGGATTTCCCTAGGAATTCCAACCCACACAATTCACTTCAGAAGGGCCCCTGCTATCACGGTGGCTGTCACTGACCTTAGAGGGACAGCTTTGGGGAAGCAAGTGGCGTCAATAATTACCAAGATGAATTGGTACCCTGCTTGGAGAAATGGCCCCACCATGTGTAGGGCAATTTGGTCAAAGGGGCACCCTGCCAGGGGCATAGGCATGAAAGGGACCTTAGCCGGTTTCACCCCTCCCGTCCTCTGGCACTCAGGGCACTCTGCACAGAACTTCTCCATCATCTTATAGAGGCCAGGCCAGAAGACTTGCCGCTTCAGGCATGCTTTGGTTTTGTCCCGGCCCAGATGCCCCCCTCCCCGCCATGGGAAGCGTGTGTGTGACCCATAGCAGGACCTCCCAGTACCTCCAGGGGACTAGAATCTGGCAACTTTCCCCATCTTCCTGGTCCTCCACCCGATAGAGGATGCCCCCTCGAACTGAGGACTCTGTCTTGCCTTCCAGGGGTCCACCCCCCGCTTTGTCCCTAGCCATTTGGGACCACCAGATGTTATGGAACAGAGGTTCTTGTCTTTGCTTGTCCCAGAAGTATCCATCGCCTATGAGTTGTTCCATATCTAGGTTTTCTCCTCCAGACTCCCAGAGCAAACTGCTCCTGGGTCCTTTTCCCACTCACCGCCTCTCTTGGTTAGGACCCGGGTGACCACCTCCTCCAGATAAGGCCAATCCACTCCTAAGAGCAGGGGACGGGGGAGGGTTTCGGCTAGGCCCATGACAGTCTCTTCCGTGCGACCCAGCACTGTGAGCCGGACGAATTGATGCTCATAGGTGTACAAGGCCCCATGGTTGCAGACCATGCTTTTGGGGCTCCCCAGATGGTGCGGTGTCCTAGCTGCCTGCGGAGGGTTCAGGATTAAGAGTATGGTCAGGGGTAGAAAGGTAAGAAAGGTTTATTGATGTAACAAAAACACAACTACGTGTAGTAACAAGACAAACAATGACAGACAAAAATAATTTGCATCAGCAACTTATCGGCAATCCCCTCTGATGCCTGATGTACAACAAGTTTCTCTTTCCACAAAGCTCAGCGAAGTCAGTCCCTGATCAGCGCTGTCTGAGAGGTACCAGGAAGGACCCTGGTATTCAGTCCTTGGGCTCCTCAAGATCCACGGGCCCACTGATCCAGGTCAACAGCTAATTAATCCTTGTCACAAAGCTGTATCTTCCCTCTAAATGACTTCCAGATGTTTTAGCCAATTTATAGCTTCTGAACTGTGCTGATAACTTACAGCTACTCAGATCCTTTTTACTTCAGCTGTCCTTAGACTGACCAATAGCAGTACAAGCCTTGCATTCCTTTGATACGATTAATTTTAACTACCCCACAGGGCCTTACTACTTCAAGGCTTTGCTAAATTTACTAGGCCTTACTACATCTTAAACTTAAATTGGCTCTTAGCAACAACATATAGCTTAATATCTAAACAAATGAGATAAAAACACTTGGTCTAATCTTCATAGAGCCTTCAGCAAGCACCTTTATCACACAGACATAATTTTCAGCTGTCACAGTATCATCGAACTGTCTGACCGTATCATTGATTGCGAGCAACCATTGTTGACAACTGTAGGGATGATGGTGTCCCCCACCCTAACTTCGACCAGGGGCTTGTCATGGCAGTCTGTCCCCTTATGCCAACCAAAGCTGCAATCCGTCTTCTCGTCATGGGAGTTATCAATAGGTGTCTCAGCCTGGGACCTCTGTGGGCAGAATCCTGGGATACGTGCCCTTTTTCCCCACACCTGTAGCACACTACCCCTCTGGAGTCCCAGGTCTGGGCTTCCCAACCAGAATTCTGTGTGTTCCCTGCCCCACCCCACCTCCCTCGGCCCTGGCTGGGTCCCCCGGGTTGGGATCCTGTTGTCGGGCCCCCTGGACGATCTCTTCTGGGGGTATCTCCATCTCTTTCAGCAGCAGCATAATCCTTGGCAAGCCGCAGAGCGTCTTCCACTATTTTGGGTTGGTGGCGCCAGACCCACTGCAGGGAGCTACTGCTAAGGTCCATCAGAAATTGCTCCAAGACTGTGAGCTTCACCATTTCCTGGAGTGTGCGGGTCTCAGGTTGTAATCACCGCTCTGCCAAATCCTTAGCATCTGCACCAGCAGGCAGAGACGGGCCCCCTCAGCCCTCTTCCGGGCCTGGAACTTTTGGCAGTATGTTTCAGAGGAGATTTCCAATTGCTACAGTACTGCCTCTTTCATC